ATTTACAGTAACTGCTGGTTCCTCCCACCACATCTGAGGTCTGCCTCCTGTCAGATCAGACGCAGCAGTAGCTTCTTATAGGTGCATGAACTGTGCAGGGAGCTGCATATGGAAGGGATCTAGATTGCCTGCTCCTTATGAGAATCTGGTGCTGGATGATGTTAGGTGGAGCTGAGGTGGTGATGCTAACCCTGGGGAGCAGTTGCAAATACAGATGGATGTGAGCACAAAGATTGACTGCACAGAGACCATAATAAGTCAACTGCTTGGAGACGCATAGAAAGTCCTATAAGTGACGGCCATTGACAGCTAAGCTGTATATGGTAGCAGGCTTTATAATGTCAGGAGAGGGTGTTTTACAGGTAAGTGCACATGGTGCTAAGCTCACTGAATTGCTAGAAGTAATAATTACAAAAGTCATAATGACTTCAACCAAAGATTTATTTCTTGCTCATACAAAATCCTTAAAAAACAATCCTTAGAACTTTATCAGAAATCTCACATTTTTACCATAACTTTCTATGCTATAATGCATGCAGAAAATGCATAATAAATAATTTGATGCTTAATGATAGGATTGCTTATCCTGGTGACAGCTCTTCATAAAATCAACATCTATGGAAAATGAGGGTTGGAATACTTAAAGCTGAATGTTAATTGTGATCCAATTTTAAAAGATAGTTCTAATAATGTGTAACTCTATTAAAATCCCAGAGATGACTATTTTAAAGGAAAGCCTTGATTTAGAGGGTGTTTTTAGTTCGATTTATATGTGGTAACCTCAAAGTATAAAAGTAACAACAACTTTGTCAATTTGTAGATAGTAAAACAAACCAGTAGAATATTCTAGAATAGTCTTTATTTGGTCCATAAGACTTCTTGCATCCTTAGGTGCTATGCTTCATATTTATGTTTTCTAAATCTGAAGATGATTATTAAGTATTCTGCGAGCACATATTAGAATTTGGTTTTTTTGTTTGTTTGTTTGTTTTTGTTTTTTTGTTTTTTTGTTTTTTTTTTTTTTTGGTCGTTTTGACACAGGGTCTCACTATGCAGTTCAGGCTGGTCTTGAATTCACTTTGTAGCCCAGGCTAGCCTCAAACTCACAACAGTCCTCCTACCTCAGCCTCCTGAGTGCTGGGATGACAGGTGTGTAACAAACACGCCAGACTTAGAATTTGGTTTTTACAATGCTTTCAAGCAGGTTTTGATGTAGTCAGTCTGTAAGTGAAACTTTCAAAAAAATGAAACCTGTGTTAGTCCACGTGGTTGATAGAAACAGATGGAGTGGAAAGCAAATTTAAATTTCTTGGGGCTAAAGAAACACCTCAGTTCAATATAAACAATAGATTCCTTTAGTCCTAAGACTATAGTGATTTTAGTCCTCTTTGTCTGATGTTTTAATTCCTAATCCTTGTTCTGACACTAATTTTTCTTTGCAATTCCTGGTAAGGCATTTATTTTATCTTCAGGATCTTCTTTAAAATGTAGATTACTGATAAAGATCCTTTATTAATGAAGAAGTTCTAAACCCTCATATTTTCTTTAAACATGTCAATTAACTTAAAGAGGTATATGAGGTATGTAGAAGAGTCAGATATTTAACATAAAGTCTTTTTTTCCATTTACTTTGTAAAAGAAAAGAAAAATAAACAATAAAAACAATGGTATAAAATTTCCAAACAAGATTGTAGGAGAGGAACAATAGTTAGTACATTGCGTATTGTTATCTTCAAAGTAGTTGCTCAGATTACAAGATATAAGCATGAAAAACTGATCAAACAATATAGGAATAAGACTTTCTTTTCAATGAGCCAGTAGCAATTACTAGTATAATGATCTCAACTATCTTGTGTGTGTGTGTGTGTTTATGTTTTTCCTTTTCTCTTTCTTCTTATCTCTTTTCCTCCATTCCAATTTCTCTTTCCTTTTGAGCATTTTATTCCCATTTCACAATATCTATTGTACATTTGGGGTCTTATTTACTCTTTCAGCTCCTTATACTAGGGAGACAATACCATGTTTACACTTGCAAGACAAATTTATTTCACTTATGAATATGGATCCATCCTCAAATTGCATCCATTTATCAATAAATGTCTCAAGTGTATCCTTCTTTACAACTGAGAACTACACCATTGTATAAAAATACCACATCTTTTTAATCCATTCCTTGGGCCTTTGGGTTGTTTCCAAGATCTAGCTATTACAAATTGTGTTGCTATAAACATGGATGCACATGTATCACTGTGGTATGATATTTTCAATTTTCCTGAGAAAATAACCAGATGAGGAATAACTGGGTTAAATGAGACCTCTAATCCTAGTTTTCTAAGGTATCTCCAGACTGATTTCCAGAGTGGTTGCACAGTCCACATTCCCACAAACAGTGGAGAAGCATTCCTTTCTCCCCACAGCCCCTCTAGCATTTGCTGTTGGTTGATTTCTTAGTGATGGACATTCTTTCTGGGCAGAGATGGAATCTGAGTTGTTTTAATTTGCATCTCTTGAGTAACCAATGATGTTTAACATTTTCTCATGAATTTATTCGCCATTTGTATTTCTTCATCTGAGAAGTCTGTATTCATCTCAGATGCCCATTTTTGGATTGGGTTTTTGAATTTGGGCAGCTTGATTTTTTAAAATTCTTCATATGTCCTAAATAGAAGTCCTTTGTCTGAGGGGCAGTTGGCTAAAATTTTTTCCCAATTCATGGGTTTTATTTTTACTCTATTTGTGATTTCCTTAGATGTGCAAAAACTTTTCAATAAAATGAGATCCGAGTTGTTGATTCGTCAAAGTGTTTCTCGTGCAATTTTTTTTTTTCTTCCAGTACCAGTAATCGAACCTACAACCTTTGCACTGAGCTAAATCCCCAGCCCCTAGCTTTTGTTGGTGAATTCTCTGCCTCCCCTATGTCTTCAAGATTTGTGCCTACTTTTTCTTCCAGTACATTTAGTGCTTTTGTTTTAATATTTAGATCTTTGATCCTTTTTGGCTTTAGTAGTGCATGGTAGTAGACATGGATCTAGTTTTAGTCTTTGGCACGTACAGAGCCAGTTTTTCTGCACCATTTATTAAGGAGGCTATCTTTCTTCCAGTGAACATGTTTGGCCCCTTTGTCAAAGTCAAGGTGGCTGAGTGTGTTTGGAGTTGTGTCTGTATCTTCCAATCTGTTCCACTCGTCCTCAGGTCTGGTAGCAGTTATTATGGAAAGAAATGCATAGCATAAACATCTAAGTTTATGCACCTCTTTTAGAATATATCCTCTATTTCTAGGGAGGGTCAGTAGGATTTAGGTTACATATGAGGTGTAAAAAATAAATGATAAATATTTAAATTTTTAAAAACACAGTAAAAGACATATTGCCATTAAATCCCCTCTAAATACCTGCCCTCATTTTGAACACGTGTATCCAATTGTTCTTGACACATTCTAGAGCATTGCTGGAAGTCCTCTTCCACCTTTAGTTGTGTTCTTGTGGTTGCCCTAACATCCTGAATTGATTCAAAATGTTTTTCATTCATCGTCATTTTGACTTTAGGGGAAAAGCCAAAAGTTGTATGATGCCACATCCAGTGAATAAGGTGGATGAGAAGACACTGTGAGACTTTGCCAAGCCTGTCTTTCTGTTGGATTTCACTTGGCGACCACATTCATTCACAGTTTTTTTTTAAGCACACCTGGTAAGGGTGCTCATGGAAGAGGTCGTCTAGAAGCGCTTCCAAAATTGGCCAGAACGATGGGAAATGTTCTAACTGAGGGTATTTTGAAAGGGTTAACGACGATGTGTCTTCTACTGCAATAAATTTTAAACACATATGTGCGTTTTGATCCACCCCTGTATATTATGATTGGCTGGGTTTGTGGCCAATTGCAGTACTCCTAGACAATAACTTCTCCATCACTGAATTATCTGGGGATGATCTCACATAGGCACAGCCTGGACACGATCATGAAATAGGAGATAATAGAGAGACCAAGTTAAGCATCACACCAGTGCAGGAAACTAACATGAAATGATTCCAAAGAGTTCCTCTTACTACTGAGAAAATAGCAGAGACTCTGTAGCGACTCAGTCAGCTTTATCTGAGAAGCTTCCCTTAAGCTGAGACAGACTGAATTAGCTTCAAACTAGAGAAAGAACTGAGCTGAGAAGCCTGAAGTTAGCAGCCTTAAACAAACACTGGCTACTTTTTGGTATTTTGCACCAGGAGGAACCCGGAGAGATTTTTATACACAACATTGCCAACTATGCTCATGGCAAACTCACAAACAAAATTTATCTTCCTCAAACATCTTCTCCCCCTCTCTTGCCTCCACACTCCAGTATCAGAATACAGGGATGTGTGGCATCTGCACAATATCATCTGCAATCACATACTATATTAAGGTCTACAAGTTCATATGCCTGTGGGAAAACCCTTTTGGAGACTACACACAGAAGCGATGCGTGGGACACCGCTTTTGATCCTCACGCCACATTCACACGCGCACGGCACCCTCGCTCGCCTAAAACGCCCAAAATTCTAAAATAATTGCTCCAGCTTTGACCTGAAAGTACCGAGCTTTGCTCCCACATCCCACGCTCCCTTCCACCACCCAGTGCTCATGGAATGAAACGTCTTCCGACTGAAGATTTTAGCAATTCAGATCAACGGAGAAAACAGACAACCAAAGAAATGTAAGGGTTGAGTTTGGAATTGGAAACATGGGGCCATAGCGTCATCTTGTGGTGCGAGATGGAAACGATCAGAATAAACCTCTACAGGTGAAGAAATTGGTTTCTTTTGAAGCCTCGCACCGCGCTACTCCTGCGCACGCGCAGAATTCCTAGACCCGCCCCGCCTCGAACCACCGACCGTACCGCGCGCTTCCGGCAATGTGATTGACAGGGCAACAGTCCGGTCCGTTAGAGAAACTCTTCACTCCGGAAACAGTGACCCGATTCTTCCGGCCCGCGCTCTCCCAGCATCCTTTGTCTTCCGGCTGCGCCTGGTCCCTTCCGGTCAGTCCCGACTAGCGCGCCCGTTTCGATCCTGAATTGCTAGCTGGTCTCTGCAGGCTGAGCGCTCCCCAGCGCGGGCTTCTCGGACCGCGGCTATGGGCTCAGGCATGGCTCAGCTGGAGGGTTACTACTTCTCAGCCGCGCTGAGCTGCACCTTCCTAGTGTCCTGCCTCCTCTTCTCCGCCTTCAGCCGGGCGCTGCGCGAGCCCTACATGGACGAGGTCTTCCACCTGCCGCAGGCGCAGCGCTACTGCGAGGGCCGCTTCTCCCCCGCGCAGGTGCGGCCCCGACCCCCGCACCCCCGGGGCGCCCTCCAGGCAGCGCCGCGGCGGGGGCCTTGATCCTGTCCCTGGGCTCCGGGACGCCTCTGCATCTCTGCCTCCTGGGAAGCGCTGAGCTGGGGGGCTGGGCAGTGCCCCTCGGCGTCTGTCCCCCCTCGCCTTACCAGTCCCAAGCCTGGAGGCCCCGGAGCTGCCCGCGAGGCCCTTCCCAGTGCTGTAGAGCGGGCGGGACGGGTCAGCAGCTGCCGGAAAGTGACAGCTGACACTGATTTCTTCCCTGGGTATTTTAAAGACCCTTCTGGTAACCAGGCAGACTGTCAGCAAGTCAGATTGCATCATTTAAAAGTAAATCTGGCTGCCCGTGTGTACAGATGCAGGTTCAGAAACATGCCATCCGTCCTCTTCTGGTGACGTTGTGGGGTGCTGGTTGGAAATGCAAAGTGTGCTAGGGGAAAACTTGTTTTTAAACTTTGGTGCTGTTATTTATTGTTTTCAAAGCCTTGGGAAGGGGTTTCAACCTCCTCGCTCGCAGAACGACAGCCGTACTCGTATAAGTTGTATCATAAGATTAAATACAGGGGGGTTAGCGCAGTCCCTGGACTGGTCCACGTTAGCTGTCATTACGGAGCCTGTGATCCAGTCACTCTCAACATTTCTTTTCTCAACCAATGTTTATATGCTTTGTAAAGCTGGAGGATTGGCGTTTATTCACCAAAATACAAGCTTTCTAAAAACCAAGTCTCAGAAAACAGAAATTAATTTTAAATTATTTGTTGGCTGCTGGTCTCGTAATTACAAACAGGTGCAGAGGCAAAAAAGGAAAACTTACCCTTAAGGAGACAGCTGATCAAGACTTGTTTCACCACTTCATGGAATAAATTCCCAAGGTTTTAGATTGTTGAACCTTGAGTTTGGCGTGCGTGAGTTTGTTTTGTCGGTATTACCTCTTGCTTTTGTTTCATTATTGATGTTTCATTTTTAAGTGGGATCCTATGATTACTACGTTGCCTGGCTTATACCTGGTGTCAGTGGGTGTGGTCAAGCCTGCCAGCTGGATCTTTGGATGGTCTGAACATGTCGTGTGCTCCATTGGAATGCTCAGATTCGTCAATCTTCTCTTCAGTGTTGGCAACTTCTACTTACTGTATTTGCTTTTCCGGAAGGTACAACCCAGAAATAAGGTACGTTTCTAGTACAGGAGTGTGTGGTGCCAGGTCCATGGTGAAGATGAATGTGTTTTAGGCTATTTGGAGGAAAACGTCTTAAACAAGTAGTATTTGTGTATATTTTGTAAAGATGAATCTAAAGTAGGTGTTAGTAAATTGCAAGCCAGCCTGATAAATTTTCTGAGCATATTTCATAAGAAAAGCATATTTCACTAGAAAGATATATGAGATCGCCTTTTTCTTGTGGTACTTATATTTTCTTCAGGGGAAACAAACTTACCTGAGAAATTTGATGTAAAAATGCAGCCCCTGGAGGTGGAGGGCTTGAGTTTGAGTGCAATCCCTGCTTCTACCTCTTACGTTACCTTGGCAGTAAACCCCTTCATGTCTATGACTTCATCTATTAATTAGGGATAATAATAATAGAATAGAATTGCCCTGAAGAATAAAGGAGCTTAATAAATGGAAGGTGCTTAGGATAGTGCCCTATAAATACCAGATATTTAGTAAATATTAACTATGATAATTTTTGTTTGAAAGGGATGGTTTCAGTAGTATCAGTTATGAGAGGGAGGTGGACTGGTGATGCAGTGAGGATACAGAGGATGCAGAAAAAGAGCTGCAGAGCGAGCGCTCGCTGCAGCCTGACTGTGAGGCGGGGGAGTAGGTGGCCTTGGGTTAGGCTTCACAGAGAAGACGGAAGTGAATCGTGGTGGACAGAGGGGTGAAGGGTTGGCGATAATCCTGGTAGAAAGGCGTGGAACTGTAAGGTCCAGAGAGTTGCTGTTTGAAATTACAGAATTGTAAATTAGAGAGGTGTAGATGGAATTGAAGTCAAGAATGTCCTTAAACGTGCGCGCATGCACGTGTGCGTGTGTGTGTGTGTGTGTGTGTGTGTGTGTGTGTGTATTCCTTATAAGATGTCCTATATCATGGAAAGAAAGGTTTTTGAACTTTTCTAGTAAATGATGGCCCAAATTTAATTTTAATCAAGAGAATGATGTGGTCTGATTTAATCAGGGGAGTGGCATGGTTAGATTAAGTGAAAGATACCATGTAAGGAGATAAAAGCCCGTAAGTTTTAAAGTGTCTATAGAAAGGTCAAAAGAAGATATTTGGCTTTAGTCTAGGTCTGCTATTTTTTGGAAAATACCTATGATTTTATCATGAGAAGTAACATCATTGGCTAGAGTACTACCAGTACTATACACACATTTACTTTATTGCTAGTCCAGGGATTTGAAGGGATACCCTCAGAGGGAATTGGTGATGATGGCTGAGTGAATGCTTATTGAAGGGGCTAAGACTTACGCTCAGAGTGGGAAGGTGCCTCCGTGGTGTCCTGTTCATCTCTGTATTCCTTACAGAGCGTACTTCACTCTCTAATACCCATGAACTCCTTAACCTTTCATTGAATTATTCAAAATGTTTTAAGCCATCGGACCATTGGCACACACATAAATTTTTCTAGTGGCCTCCAGGCTGAGAGTTGTGACTAAAACGTAGCAGAAAGTGTTGTTATAAATGCATATTGAGGTTTGGCAAAGCCAGACATGAGATTAATATTGAACAAGTTTGTTTAAATAAGATTAAAGTGTTTTTTTAAAATAAATCTCTCCATTTGTTCACCAAGAATAGCATATTTGTTGTGTCATGAAAGTAATTTTAACTTTTCTTTCCCCACTCCAAGGCTGCTTCCAGTATCCAGAGAATCTTATCAACATTGGCACTAGCAGTATTTCCTACATTCTATTTTTTTAACTTCCTGTATTACACAGAAGCAGGATCCATGTTTTTTACCCTTTTTGCCTACTTGATGTGTCTTTATGGAAATCATAAAACCTCAGCCTTGCTTGGATTTGGGGGCTTCATGTTTCGCCAAACGAATATCGTCTGGACTGTCTTCTGCGCAGGACACGTCATTGCACACAAGTTAACTGAAGCTTGGAAAACTGAGCTACAGAAGAAGAAGGAAGAGAAGCTCCCCTCTGTGAAAGGACCGTTTTCAGAATTCAGAAAAATTCTTTGGTTCCTGTTAGGGTACTGCATGTCCTTTAAGAACCTGAGTGTGCTCATCCTTCTGACCTGGCCCTACATCCTGCTGGTATTGGCATTTTGTGCCTTTGTAGTAGTTAATGGTGGAATTGTTATTGGTGATCGGAGTAATCATGAAGCCTGTCTTCATTTTCCTCAGCTCTTCTACTTTTTCTCTTTTACTCTCTTTTTTTCCTTTCCCCACCTACTATCTCCTACCAAAGTTAAGGCTTTTATTTGTGTAGTTTGGAAACATAGAATCCAGTTTCTTGTGATTACTGCAGTCTCCATGTTTTTAGTTTGGAAGTTCACTTACGTTCATAAATACTTGCTGGCAGACAATAGACATTATACATTCTATGTATGGAAAAGAGTTTTTCAAAAACACGATATTATGAAATATTTGTTAGTTCCAGGCTATCTATTCGCTGGTTGGAGTATAGCTGACTCATTGAAATCGAAATCAGTTTTCTGGAATTTAATGTTTTTTATATGCTTGTTTACTTCTATAGTTCCTCAGAAACTGCTAGAATTCCGTTACTTTATTTTACCTTATGTTATTTATAGGGTTAATATACCTCTGCCGCCCACTTCCAGACTGGTTTGTGAACTAAGTTGCTATGCACTTGTTAATTTCCTAACTTTTTATATCTTTCTGAACAAGACTTTTCAGTGGCCGGATAATCAGGATATTCAAAGGTTTATGTGGTAATAATAAGGTTGTTTTGAACTTTAAGTCTTAATGTTTAGACTGTCTCCAAAAGGAATAACTGAATAGGTAAAAATTATAGAATTTTTTTAGGTACTACAGTGCGCCTAAGGTCACAGCTGGTATTTATGTACAGTACATTTTAAGCATGTATAACAAGTCTGAGGAAGTTCAGTATAAAGAACTGGGAAAACTCCAGATCTGGTTCAAAATCCCAAATATTGGGAAAATAAACATGTTTACAAATATCTCATCATATCTCTGATACTGTCAACCGTAAAGCTTGGAAGCATTTTATATATATATAAGTTCAAGAAAACTTGGACGCTTCATAGTAATAGAACTGCTTTACTATATTTTTTCCCCAAAAGGTAGCAAAATATTAAATATATTTAAAATATTAAAATACTAAAAATATTTACAAGTGATCAGCCAACATTCCTGATTGAAAAGTTGTTTAACATTTGAGAAATACAGTTTTAGTCATAAGTTAAAGCAGATTTGTGTAAGTAGTAAATTGCAAACAGGTTTACCTAGGAATCAAATTGGTTTTTGTTTAAAATCTACAAATGAGAAAACTGTACCACTGATTTCCAATATGACATGTAGGAAGGCTGGAAATAAATGATGTTAATTATAATACCTTTTAAAGAAAAAAAATTTTTCCTGAAATACATTACTACATTAGTTTCCTAGGGTTTGCTATAACAAGTGACCATGAACTTGGTGACTTCAAAAAGTTCCTCACGTTTGTACAGACCAGAGTCTGAGTCAGAGTATTATAGGGAAGGTTCTTTTGGGAAGCTCTGAGGGGAGGACCCACCCATTGCTTCTCCCAATCAGGGGCCAGGCTGAACTTTCTTGCTTATTGACACAGTAATAAGCCAATCTCTCCCTCCATGTTTCCATGGCCACCTCCTGTGTCTCTGCCCAGCTCCTGTAAGGACAAGGCCATTGGATTTAAAGCACTTTATCCCAAGTGATCTCATCCAAGATCCTTAATTATATCTACAACCAATCTCTGAAGACTCCTTTTCCAAGTAAGGTCACATTTGTAGGTTCTGGATAGGTGTCTTTGTGGGAGAAAAAGGAACGTAAGGTTTTCGGAGATAACACTTTTAAATACAATTTTCTTTCATTGAGAAATTTGAAAAAAAAAAAGTGACTTCTGAGGTTCCTTCCATAAATGGAAATCAAATTGGTATTTGCGTCCCTCATCCAAATATATTAGAATTAAAAGTTGAGAAGTCATTTGACCTAACTTTATAGATTAGGGACTACCTGCTGGGTAGGATTGTGTGTGTGTGTGTGTGTGTGTGTGTGTGTGTGTGTGTGTGTGTGTGGACTCCATGCTCACTGTTTTCAGTGCATCTGTTGTGTGATCATCATTCCACTGCAGGAAATTGTATTTTGAGGCATGTTAACTTTGACATGGTAAACTAGGAACTGTGAATAGAACTTTTAACTTAAATTTATATTTCTAAGATTTTTAAAAAACAGCTATAAGCAAATTACTTTCCCTTCAGTGTTGGATTATGCTTTCTCTGGGCTTTAAACAGTAGATTTGGATTTGAATAAATAGTGGATTCTTCATTTGCAAATATTAGATTGTGTGCAGGTAAAAATTACAGGCTTTTGAGAACTTAGTACACTGATTCGGTTATAACAGCTGGACAGATATTTTTTACCTAGACTTCTTTTTAATAGAAAGAGAAAGCATAGTCAAAGAAATAATGCTTTTACCACAAATTTATTGTAATGGAGAAGCAAATCTAAGAAGCCAAAACAGAAAAAAATGCAACTTAGGAAAAACGACTTCCTTGATTGATGGAACTAATGCAAGTCTTGATGTTTAGAAGTATTTTTAAATGGAAAAAACTTTCCACTTTAACTTCTCTGGCAAAAAGGAAAAAACCACTTTGTCCCCGTATAACTGAAGAAGACTGCTTTTGGAAGAGTTCACTGTTTCAGTTCATTTTTAAGTGATGAGTCACTTCCACTTTAGGAAATGTTTTGGAAAATAAGAGGAAAAGGGTTAATCTTCATTTTTGTTCTTCATGTAGATTTTGACATTTTAGAAAAGAATGCTATGAATTAAATGCTGAGCAAATACGTATTTTTATAATAGGATATGATTTCAAGATCATTGCTATTTAAATTATTTTTCAATAACTATCATTTTAAAACAAGGAGTCCTAATAATATTTTTGTGTTTAAAATACAAGTTTTGTTTACATTTTTGTGGGCAATTAGAAGATGGCCATTGACTGGTGGACTTCCCAGGATTTTTAACAGATTAAATATGTGAGAAATACACAGGGTTAACACAGTAGATTATATTGCCTTTAGTTCAGAATCTGATTCCAAACTCATTCCTGTGAAGTCATTGTACTTGAGAAAACTGAGACTAGCTATTCCTAATTATTTCGATCCTAGTTTTACACACAATGTAAATTGTGTTTGTGTTTTGAACTTTTTCCAAGGATAATGGAGTAAATTTTTATTGTGAGTTTTAAAAAATTATTCGAATCGCTTGATGAAAAAACGATTATGAAAAAGATATACTTCCTTGCTAGAGAGCCTGGGGAATTTGCAGTCACTGTTACTGGTCTGAGCATCATGAGAAGATTGGGTCCACAAATTGTTGTATGCGAAGTAATCATTTTCAGTGAGTTCTACCTTAGGTGAGATTGTACAGACACAATGTTATCTGTAGATAGTAAAGTTCCGATGTATTGTGTGCTTCCTCACATCGCCGTTTTCTTTGGATACCCTTACGCCTTTTATAACTGGATCCGATTATGTATTTAAATGGTTTGAAAATACGGTGTTCCTTACTGTAAACATAGCATCATGGCAAGAGAAATAATTTAATTCTCTGGCCACGTTGTCCTATTAGAATCACTTCTGGAATGTACATAGCCTGTCATAAAATCCCTTAACATAAATCACTTATTCCTAATAAATAGCTTCACATAGAATGTATTTCTAATTAGAAGTTAATTGCCACTTGTCATTATTTTCTCATATTCATCTGGAGAGAAGAGAAGGGATCTCGTAGTTCTTTATACCCCTTAAATGGACTATTATTTTGGATCCACTTTTCAATAAAATGTGTCACATAAATAAAGTCATGTTTATTAGCTGAAAATGCATTATCTTTGAAGCAGTTACAATTTTATTAAATAATAAAACAAGAACGATACAAGTATGAAAAAGGTTTAAGTGGAAATTATTATGAATTAGTAGATACAGGCGTGTAGAAAGTGCATTAGCATGGGGATTACCATGTCAGATTATTGCTGTTTAAAATACGAAATGTAGTTTTCAGTCATTAAGTTATAGGAACAGTAGAACTTTGATGGTTTATAAGACTTTAAAAGGAAAAGAAATGCCAACCAATTACACATATTTTGTGTTTTTTTAGGCTGTACTTATTACTCCAGGAATAACTGGTAATTATTTTTTCTTTGTGATACTTTGTATATATTTAAATGCTAGTGACACACATTTCGAATATACTAAGACGTAGTTGATAAAATAATAATAAAATGGATAGGTATAAAATACGTTTTTAAACATACCCACGAATTCAAAAATAAATTCTTTATGATTTGAGAATTATTTGTAGGGTAAGAAATTTTGTCACAGTAAGGTAACCCAATGATATCCTATAATGTGCTGTTTTTTAAAAAATGAGCTTTTGATGAATTTAATGTTAATTTTATTTTCATTCAGTCCATCACCTTTATACCAAAAGAAGATAGTGTACTTTTCCAACAAGAACAGTATTAAAGCATTGGGTTGGCTTTGCCTCCTGAAACCCGAGCGGTTCATCTGAGCCGTGTCTTTGTGCAGACAGCACGAACAAGATGAGAGAGAAAGCAGAAGTGATAATGGCGGGTGCCCTTGTCTGTTGAGTACCTGGAATGGTTTGGATGTTGTGCTGCCTGATTTACAAATACTCTCGTTCGATTCCACTCATGCCTGTGTTGTAGATGTTGATTTCTACATAGCTGGAAAACCTAAAGGTCAAGCATATTTGGTGATTTGCTCAAAATCCACTCTGACTTTAAATGAATAGGTTGACCTGACTCCCCAACCTACGAGTTTTTGATTATTTTCCTGGGCCATACTGTGAAAGTTTTTCATTAAGAGAAATAAAAGAATATGGAAAGCGTTGATAATCTGTCTTTACTCTGCACTTGCCAAATCCTTTATGGCGTATTATTTTGTGTCAGATGTAGTTGTTTCTAAAAAATGCTAGCAATGGTTGGAAGGAGCTTGAACAAAATGGTGAGAGTTCGTAATTTTGTGGCAAGATAAATGGTTAAAAGAGTATGTGTTTACAGAAATTTAGTAACTCAATAAGCTCTCATATGAAGAATAATGATTTGAAGGGATTATCATTGTCCCATATTGACTGAAGTATAAATCAGGGGTCAACAGATTTCTACTCATGGAAAACCAATTTTCTAATTGCTTACTTGCAGAGAAATAGACCCCTAGAAATTAAATTTGCTATTTATTGAAGGAAAATTTGTGTTTATCAGAGATTCTTTAGTAGATTCCAATAGCAAGTAGGGGGGGTGAAACAGCTGTCAAAGAGGTCTCGCTACTACTGCGATTTTGTGTTCATAAATTTCTTACAGATTACTATTTGCACTAATTGAGAAGTCATGGAGAATTATTTCTGGTGGTTTGCATGCTGTCCCTGATATATTTTAAACTTCTGAACAAAGCTACTATAACTCTGATCTTATGTTTTACAAATAATTGAGATACACAGCCTGCTAATAGGTACTGTAGTTATGTTTCAGTGTATTAGTGAGATATATTTTTAGTCCTACATATCAGTGGAAAGAATATGAATGAAAAGGTTTAGTTCCCTAGTGATAAAGAGAGCAAGCTCTTATAAAGATTTCCAGTTTAGTGTTCACTAGGTGGTGATATTGTGCCACATTTTGAAGTGTTACTGTAATTAAACTTTGAATTAACTTTTTTATACTTTTGTATTGTTATATTATCCATGTCGATTATGCTGTTATTGAAAATGATTTGAGTTGTATGAAACTATAAACTAAATGTAAAAGACCTTTTTTGTATTTTGTAATCACATGAGATGATAAACCTTGTGCACTTGTCCATATGACACTGTTTGCTTCCTGAGGCATTAGAATCTTTTTCTACAGACAAGTGGTGAACATGGCGAGTTGGAAAACTGGTGTAGCATTGTGTTGGCCACAGTGTTCAGTGCTTTACCCACTTTTTCTCAGTTAATTCTCCTGACAGCCTTGCGAGATTAGTACTGTTGTTAATAGTACCGTACGCATCAAGAAATTCTGCTGAGTATTTGCCCAAGGTTGCAGCCTAACTGGCTGAGCTGGGACTTATGATCCAGAAGCCTACACAGACCCCACTGTTTTTAACTGCTGGGCTCTTACTCAGGGAGAAGTGCGCAAAGGCCACGTGTGGCACTTTAGAAGGAAGAGTTGTCATGAATACAGCTATACTGCTTAGCTTCCCAGGTCACAAAAATGAGCACCATATGAATTTTGGCTCCTCTAGAAGCAAATAGTGCCTCATTTACTATTGTATCCTCCATTTGTGTTTTGGCAGTGTCTCAAGTGGGTGTATGTGTATACTTGAAAATTTAAGGGAAGGAAGAAATCAAGGCTTTGGCCATGTTCATGCTCACAGAAGTAATGACTGTTCTTACCAATTGGAGGAGTGCAGTTGTTTGAAAACAGTTTTCTATAGAGACATTCACTTGGAAGCAAACTGTTAGTTAAACATGACATTTTGGGATATTTTTGTAAAATTCTGGCTGAGTTACCTTGATCTTTTATTTTAAAAAATATATGAATATATGCTCTAAAATTTGAAAAACATTTTACATTTTGTCAGATACTAGACTCTTAAGAGTTGTTTGTCTTCTAAAATTATACTGTGAGTTCATGTGATTTTAAATTGTTTTTTGAGTAAACCTGTTCTTTATAAGAATAAAACAGTTTTTCCCTTTTAAAGTTTGTTCAAGTGTGTTTCTATTTTGTTTGTAAATAAATTTATGTTTTATAATATTTTATGGTTTATTTTATCTACATAATATAGTCTCAATCTAAACTGAAGGCTGGCAGCTTTTCCCTCCTGTGTACTACTAGCCATTTTCTTTATACTCACTCAATCCTAAACTTTATTAGTCTTCTTACAATAGTAGTGTTAAGTATATTTACATACCTGTAATGAGTGCCCTTCAGTAGCCTGAGTATATTTTTAGTTCTGCAATAATAGGGAGTATTTACATTACTGACTGGTCTTGAGTTGTAATAGTGGCCAACATTTATGGAATGTTGCTGTGTGCCAGATTAATTTGTTTAATCTTTGAGGACTCCAGGAAGCAACTGTTACTATGATCTTCACTTTACTGATCAAGAAAATAAGGATCTAAATTGAAATATTTTACAAACGGGTAATATGGTTGTTAGAACATGCTCTCTTAACCAAGACATGAGACCAGCTGAGCTTGCATAACCTGATGTCCTCTCCTTCAGAGGAGAGGAGGTTATTTCTAAGTAGGGACTAAGCAATGTTCTGCTCTAGCCAGAGAGTGGGGAGCAAGGAGAACATACCACACATGGCAACACTATAAGAAGTAGAATATGGAGACAAATAACTTTCATTTGAAAAAGGATAGCCAGGTTTTGGTTCAAACAAGATGAAAGAGAGGGCTTCATGCTCCTCCCTTAAATACTATTGCAGGTGATCCAGGAACAAGAAAGAAGGGCATTCTTAATCAGGATTGTAAACAGTTTGGGGATATTACTGCACCATGTGGCCTGAAAGTCTGTGAGCCCAGAAGGAGAGATTTCTTCTCCGAAGTGTTTCAAGAGACAAAGCAGTTATCATGTACTCTCTCATAAGTACTATTGTATGCAATTCATACAGTTTCTTTGCAATCTCTGAAAATCTGGTAAGAAAATCAAATATAGATGAAAAAAACAACCTTAGTTGGAACTTTAAGTGATGCTTCTTTAAATACTGGGTCTTGTGGCCAAATGTATTGGAAGGTATCTGAGCTGTAAGCCAACCTTGGGCTTGGGAAAGCCATGGGAAGGAATCTAAGTGAGTAGTTTTAATTAGCCCCCTTTAGAAATGTATGTCTTGGCCATAAGATTTTTGCCTCTCTTTGTAAAGCAGACAAAAAAATAACCCTTCATAGCTAATTGACTATAAATACTCTAATACCCTATGAGGATACCTATGTGTGTTTCCTCCAACCATACCCACATACATGCACCCACATATTTTGTGCCAACACATAAGCACAAGTATATCTGGGGACGGTGGGTATGTGAACTTTAGGATTATTGCTATGAAAAAAAGCAAGACAGAGGGCCAGCCAGAGGGTTGTCTGGAGGTGGAACATTTTTCAAAGTGAATTATAATCACTTTCCTTATAAGTAGCATCTCATTCAGGATGCACGTTGTAGTCAAATGTACAAAGAATTCTGACACAGAAAGACATGAATACACTAAGATCTGGGTAAACAACCATGCTGATCTTTTCTTGGTCAATAAAAATTTAAAGTGATGGTTAATTTTTCTCTGAAAACAATTATGATGGTCAACTTTCAACCTGTATTTATTTTCCAAAATATATTAGAGTATCCTAGATTTCACTCCAGGTGGCACTCTTGGACGTCTTTTCTGGTTAATCTGATAGGAACTCTGTGGCATTTTATATGTCTTTTCAATGTCTCATGTTAATCAGTTTTAATTGTTATTTTAAAGGTAGTCTTTGAACATGTTTAGCTTGAAGCAACTATGTCTGATTATTTTTCTAATGAAATTTCGAGAATGTGATCAGTGACCTTTTGAATCAATTGTAGTTACATTTCATTCCCCATGAGAATATATGGAAACTTTAGTGGTTTCTATTTTTCTTTCCAATTGGAAGACCAGTCAAACTTGGAATTTATACAAAGCTTTACTTCATTGGGAATTTTTAATGCATACATAATACCACAATTGTTCCCAGAAGTTTCTGTTGATGGACAATACTTGATTTCTTCCATGCGGCTATTTGAAACGCAGCCAGCCATTCTATGACAGCTGTGTATTAGAGCAAATTACCTGATAAGGAAAGAAAGGAAAATAATTGTGTTAGCAATGCTACTGTGAGTTTTATAGAAAGTGATTTTTTTTTTTAGAAAATAACCCTGCATTTTAGTGGAAATAAATGCATTTTGGGAGTTTCTACCAGTCATGAATTATGTATTATGTGATTTTTCCATCTAGCTTTTGTTATGTTTGAATTCTGTACAGTTAGAATGCTGAGAAGCTATGGATATTTTCTGTTTTATAAAGTCTGGAATTATAATGGATTGTTCTGTGTGCTAGGTTTTCTTTTTTAAATATATGAAAAATTCTGCAAAGTATTGATCATCTAATGAGATTTTCTTTCTCAAATGATAGTTCAATTTGTAAGATCAAAAATTTGTCAGCATCTAATCTGTGAACTCCTAGATTTACCCTTAGTTTTAAGGAAATTATCAGTTAAATGTTTATTTTTAATTAAAACATTAAATACTAATAAAATTTACTTTTTCCTAATCTCGTTTTCTTCTGTCAAGATCGACTTCTTACCACATTGAAATAATGATAGTTTTAGGAAGAAAGCTAACTCATAATGAGAAATAATTAGCAAGCATCTAAAAAGAAAATTCTGATCAAATTTGACCTTTATATCTCTTAAGGGTTTGATAATTGGACTTAATATTTGATCAAGGTAAATTCAACATGATCAAAGTGAGACTTAAAAATGTTCTACTTTATAATTCTATTTTATAATTATTGAAATAACTTCTAATAAAGAAAGAAGAAAGGGGTTGGATAAAGTAAAAATAAGCCAACTTCCTCCTTTATGCTACATTCTGATCTTTTGTTAAAAGTAAAAAAGGAACTATAAAATACAGAGTACTTGAGTTTTAATTAGAAGACCAAGATTCAAATCCTGGTTCTGTCATTTACATCCTATTTAGATCTAGGAAAATGAAGCTGACATGATTAAGAGAACAGAAAGTACATATGACAATTACTTAATAGCTGTAATCACACACAATGTCTTGTATTGCTTATTAAATATAACTCAGAATATGCACCAAAAATTTTATTAAGTTGTGCCATAATTTGTGTGAGTAAATAATACTAAGTAATTGAATAATTGCTATCTGAAGGACTGTTTTGTTTTAACATGTAAAATGGTAATTTTTTCTTTCCATGGACTTTGTTATCTAATGGTGTTCTTGCTAATTATACCCAAGTGTACTGTCTTCCCAAATCAGTGATGTTTCAATTTCACATTGTAAAATAGTGATTATGTATAGTACATTACTTAGAATTACATTAGTTGGACTTTTTAATTCTGTAAGGAAGCCATAAGGGAATCATTGAGAGTAGACAAATCAAATTGAGCTAGGAGAGTATACTGGCTTGCTATTGCTGTAACAACAATAAAGACAAAAAACCCCTTTAGATAATCACATTATAAAAAGACAGTTTACTTTGGCTTACAGTTTTGGAGGTGTCAGTCTATGTCTGGTCAGCCTTGTTGCTTTGGACCTGTGATAAAGACTTCATGCCAGAAGTAGTGCAGTAGCAAAACCACTCACTTCTCTGCTGAGAAGCAAAAGAGACAGGAAAAGACTGAGGTCCCATAACTTTGATGCCAGCCCTCCAGTGACCTAAAGACCTAACTTTAGGCCCATCTCTTAAAAGTTCTGCCACCTCTCAACAGAATATCTTGGGGAAACAATCCTTCAGTGCATGAGTCTTTGAGGGGTATTCGTGATTTGTTCCACAAGAAAGAAGGTCTTATCTTCCCAGCTATCTAGTCTCCTACTGCAGACCCTACTGATTATGAGGGGGATGTGTAGCAAAGCCTTGTGGAGAAAAGTGACTTAGGATAAAATACTGATTCAAGATAATTCATCTTTCTTTGGTTTTGTATCCCCTTCACCCATCCACACCCATAAAGGTTGTAACTGGATTTCTCACATCCCACTCAATCATGTAATAGTCAGACCTTTGCTCTGAGCTGCACTAAGTCCACATAATCTATACCTATTTTCCTTTGACTCAGATTCCAATTGCTTGTCCATTCAGATCCAGTCAGTTAAGGCCAACATAGCAGAGTAGATTACATTATCATTTAAATCACTAGTTGCTTTAACCTTATTCAGAAATACTCTTCTTGTTACTTTTTTTTTTTTTTTTTTTGGTCTTTTAGAGACAGGGTCTTGCTATCCAGTTCAAGCTGGCCTTGAACTCACTTTGTAGCCCAGGCTGGTCTCAAACTCACAAGGATCCTCCTGCCTCAGCCTCCTAAGTGCTGGAATTATAGGCGCATGCCACCATGCCCAGCTCTCCTCTTGTTTCCTTTGTAATAAGGATATATTTCCAGGGATACATCTAAATTGGAATATACCTTTCTGTCATAACATCATAAATATCTTAATGTAGTAAATAGATATTTGTATGTATGTTTTGACTTTTCCAATTTTCTTATGGCCCCACAATAATATAATAACCAATCAATCGTTATTTTATAAGAACCCAATGTTTTTCGTTCACTAGATGGGTGTGTATAACAATGTGTTACACAAGTGCAAAAGAGGAAATATAAGGGGCGAGTCTCAGGAAGCTTTCTGTGACATCATGCTCCTCATCACTGTACTTTTCCATACTCAGAGCCACATCTTGCCATGCAGAGTTAACTTGCTTGTCTGTATTCTTTTTTTTTTTAAAGAGAGTAGTACATGAGAAACAAACAAATAGAACAATAGCAGCACACTAGTATCACAATCATAAATAAATCAAAGCAAAAACATTCAAAGTGACTTGTCTGTATTCTTGACTAGACTATAAACTTCATGAAGTCAAGAATTGGATCTGTTATATTCATAAGTGTTTATCGTATACATATAGCAAATGTTCAGGAAAATGATTCATTCAGTGATTCAGCAAA